TACATTCATTTCCCACATACATACATACATACATCCCCACATACACGCATCTAGCCCCATATTTACTAACACAACACACTGAAACACAATCACACGCACGCACGCTAGTCTAACCACACAGTTCTCGTGAAATACACATTCTTGACGTAAAAATCTGAGTTCGTGATCTCGCTTTTATCGATCTATCCAGGCCCAATGGACGAGTGGTCTCCGATTTTTGGACCGTTGGTACAAAATCAATGGCCGAAGACACAGTGTCCCCAATAACAATATAACTTGCTAATGACCAACTCGCCTAAAATATCATAGTACTAAGTAATACTAAGGCTCCAAATAAAAAATAAACTAGTCACAAATAAATTACTAATCATATTAGGCCACCAAACACAAAATCAATTGTTAATAACCAAGCGGCCCAAACCACAAAATATGAATGTTATGAAAACATGAACAAAAGGCCTCCATAAGAAAATATCAAATATTAAAACTCTTGACAAGCGGCCCTTACACAAACGTGTCCATTGTGTACATGTGTACACACATTGTGTACATGTAACTCCGAGTGTTGAGGCCACCTAACCCAATACAATTGTTGGGAGTTATCCCCTCTTATTGATACACTGAATCATTTCTTCATAACTTATCGATCCCATAACCTACTTCTGTAATCATCTGGTGTAAGTATAAAATATGTAATGACGCTAATATATAATCTGGTGTAAGTATAAATTATGTAATATTGTGAGGCAGGATCATTAAGTGCAAATATAAATTATGTAATGATGCAAGGCAAATCGATAATTTGGTGTAAATATAAATTATGTAATGACGTACGGCCAATCGATAATTTGGCGTAATTATAAATTATGTAATGACGTACGGGTAATCAATAATTTGGTGTAATTATAAATTATGTAACGTCGCAAAGCGAATCGATGATGACATGCGGATTTAAGATCAGATTCTGTCTTAAAACGTTTGTCTCTCTACTTGAACTATTTCTAGCTTGTTCTCATAGCGTGTTGACAGTATGCACGGACCTGAAGGCGACAAGTACTCACGCAAAGTTTCTTCCAAATTTCAAACTCCGAACATTGAACAGAAATCACATGTTTGTTGTTATCACATGCCCGGTTTTCTCGCGCCGAAATCACATTGAAAAATAAACACACGGGGAATAAAGACGGGCATCACGTGACACAATGTTGACACACCTCTAGAACAACACATCATCCAAGCGAGCCGGCACCGCCACCACTGCTGTTGTTGTAAGCAAGTGCCACCTCAAGTGATGCCGCGCTCACTGCAGTCGCCGTTGCCGTTCAAACTACTACACTCATTTTCCCAGTTTTTAAGACTCTATCCCAGGGAGGGGAGGGAGGTGGGGGGAGTGGGGGCGCCAACTCAAATACCATTGAGGGTATATTGAGGTGTCTTTTGTTTTGATGAGCCATTACCGAAGAGCCGGCGGATGGCTGGGTTTATATTGCCTCTAAATCAGGGACCGTCTGACGTTCATGGCCTTTCGCTACCGGTTTTACGATCCAGGTCTTCGCTGGCGCACTAGATAGGTCAAGGTCGGTGGGGAAGGAGGAGTGGTGGGGGGGGGGGGGGGATTGAAGTATGGGGGGGGGGGGAGATAAAAAGCTGGAAGATTATGAAGAATTGGGGGTCGGGGTGAAGAGAGGGGGTGAAAAAGGGGGGGTATGGAGTTGACTGAAAATGTACAAAGAGATGAAGCAATCTTCTAGCTCTGACGGACTAGGGGAGTGAGTGGGACGAAAGATGAAACAAGCAGGAACTTAGATACAAGGGGCCAACGTCTGCGAGAAATTTTAATAAATTTATTTTTATGCGCGCTGGTCTGATATCTGATACAGACGTTGAAGATTGCGCAGGGGCAGGGGCGGGGGTGGGGGAGCAGAGAGCCGGCTACCCGGTTCAACAATTTTAAAAATTTGTTTTGAAGTTTGAAAATGTACTTGAAATACTATGCCATGGATCTACAACACTGAACGTAATTAATATTTAGCCGACTGTAACTGGCTGACTCAAACTGAAATGCATAATTAAACACGCGAGTACTGTGTCAGAGAGGGACGCGTGAAATGGAACGGTGCGTGTGTGCTTCGGAGTGTAAAGGACATTGTGTAAGGGCAGTCTTTAAGGGCAGTGTATAAGGACAGTAAGAACAGTGTGTAAGGACAGTGTATAAGTGCACTGTTTAAGGACAGTGTGTAAGGACAATGTGTAAGGACAGTGCGCTAGTTCTCGTAGTAGACATTCACAGGAAGTAGATGTAGCACCATGTGGCTGGGAGATGTTGGGTGGTCGAGGTGGTTTGGTGTTTTTGCTAAATATCATCTCACAACTAGTCACCCACCACTGGAGGATAATGTCAACCATTGTGGTGACCACGTATTCTATGGTGATCAGATGGTGACCACGTACGCCACGGTGGTGATGAGATGGTGACCAAGTATTAATGTTGTAATCAGATGGTGACTAAGTGCTCCACGGTGGTGGTAGATGGTGACCAAGTATTCAGCTGCTGTAGCGAAGTGGTCACCACACAAACCACACTGTGGGTGAAAGGTGGTGATCCACACAGTTAAAGCTGGCTAGTTATATCTTTGTGTTTTAAAATGTTGACTAAAGGCACAGCAGATCGCCTTTGATGCCGTTTAAACCTAGATCATGTGGTAGTACCATGGGGGTTGGTCTGTACATTTGTGTGTCGGTATTATTATCTTATTTTCATTTCTTTGGTTTATATTTGTATCCATGGTTTTGTCTGTATTTTGGCTGTGTTTTGTCCATGTTTATTTCTACATTTTTATTGTCTATTTTTCCGTATGTTTGTATTTGTCTTTATGTTAGTGAATGCCCGTGTGAGTGTGTCTGTGTGTCTGTATGTGTCTATACAACCTTGACTTTGGTTCTCCCCAGTCATGTGACGTGACTGTGTGTCTCAGAAAGAAAAAATCTGGCCAGTCACGTGAGCCACTGGACTTGATTAGCGTGACGTGGTCACACCAGGAAATGTGAGTGGGGTTTTTATTGCCAGCCTTGTCCCGGGGAGGGGATTAGAGAAGGGCAGGGGGGAGGTATCGGTGTTGGGGGAGAAAGTAAGGTCAGTCAGACGAGGGTGGAGGGGGTGGGGGGAGGGGAGGGTGTGAGGTCATTACTCTCAGAGGAGACTGACCTTTCTGTGACCGTCCGTAATTAAAACATCTTGCTTATTAGGTCCATCACAGCTTGTTGTAATGATATATATATATATAATATATATATATATATATATATATATATATATATATATATATATATATATATATATATATATATATATATATATATATATATATATATAAATTTAGTTATTTGTTTACATTTTTCAGATGACATGTCTATGGTCTACGACGAATGAATCGAACTTTTTGCTCTCTATGGGAAAACTTATGTGGACTTTTTGGAGATGTTGCATTAATAGATCTGGACATTTCTAGATTTGTTGTCAGACAACAAAAGTTGTCAGTGGTCAAATCTAGCCCGCGCTGACCGCTCTTGTCCAGTCTGAGACAAAGATGGAGACATCCGTCAGCCATTACCAGCTTGGGGCGCCGTACATCAGTGGGGTTGAGTCGTTTTTGGGGGAGCAGGACTGTGAGTACTCGGAGCCCGGGCGCCATCTTGTCGATGATTATATCCACATGCTCCACACCAGCCAACATCCACAAGGCCATCATTACTATGGCAACCAGAACGACCTGTATTCCATATGTGCAGCGGCATCCAACCCCGCCTATGTGGATCACCACGGCGCGCCGCTTTTCCCGCGTTTTCCGCCTTACGACAGATTAGACATGGCGGCCATTAACACTTCCGGTTCGTCAACCCTACATCAGCCACAGACGCTGCCGCACTACCATCGCAACCACAGCAGCCAACCCCAGCATCCATCCCACTTTCAGACCGCGGATTCTACATACACTTCCGGTCGTGTGAGTCATGCGTCACGAAAAGGGCAGACACCGGCCGGGGAGATTGTGTATGGAGGTGTCTTAACCTCCCTCGCCGTCTCCCCGCTCTCCCCTGACCAGCCGCCCCATCTTAATGAGAACAAGCGCGGGGCGGTGGGCCCCCTCCCCCTAACTGACACAGGTCAGAAATTTACGGCCTGCATGCTTGACACGGGCCCACATAAATCGGCGACTTCAGACAGATCGGGCCTTCGCTCCCAAGCCCCGTGCTCAGCCTCCCCTCGCGGGATCACCGGCTCTCACTGTAAGCCCGGCGGTATCGGATTAAACACATTGGCCCACCGCTCGCCGGGTGGGGAGGGGAGCGGCGTGGGTGGAGATAACGGTGGTCCTACTACAGGAGGTGGTGCTGGGCTAAATGGTGGTGGTGGTGGTGGTGGTGGTGGTGGTGGTGGTGGTGGTGGTGGTGGTGGCGGTGGTTTTCAGAAAAGTGGGATCACGCACCGCCCAGACGACGCTACACCCTACACCACTCACACACATGAAAGGAGTACCCACGGAGAAAGCACGATCGAATCTAATACTCGGGTTGTTCGTCGACCGGCTACCATAGTAAAAGCCGGACCAAAGCCGGTTGCGACAACCGGACCACATTCATGCATTCAAGATAGCCAAAGCGGACTCGGTCTCCGTGGAGACGTAGATCGGCAAAACAAAAACGTCAACAGGAAACACGTGACTGAAAAACTAGTCGACCAATCAATAAAAGGCTCCATGATTTCGCAGTACAGCGAGAAAATGGAAGATGTTACTAAAAATAGAGCAAACATTGGCGAGGTTTTTGGTGATAAGAAAAGTAATGACATAAAAAAATTAGATGAGGATGGTGATGGTAAGGAGCGTGGATGCAGAGGGATGGATGTGGATGATGTGGATTTAGGGAGTGAGTCATCCAGCTCGTGTGGATCGGAGGAGAGGAACCCGGATGTAAAGGAAGAGGATGATGGGAAGGGTCTTCCAGTGTATCCGTGGATGAAAAGTCAATATGGTAGGGAACTAATTTACAGCAGTCAACACTATAAGGGAACTAATTTACATCAGTCAACAATATAAGGGAACTAGTTTACATCAGTCAATATGGTAGGGTACTAATTTACACCAGTCAACAATATATGGTTACTAATTTACACCAGTCAATAATATAAGGGAACTAATTTACATCAGTCAACAATATAAGGGTGTTAATTTACATCAGTCAACAATATAAGGGTATTAATTTACATTAGTCAACAATATAAGGGAACTAATTTACAGCAGTCAACAATATAAGGGAAATAATTTACATCAGTCAACAATATAAAGGTATTAATTTACATTAGTCAACAATATAAGATTACTAATTTATATCAGTCAACAATATAAGGGTGCTAGTTTATATCAGTCAACAATATAAGGGTGCTAATTTACATCAGTCAACAATATAAGGGAACTAGTTTACATCAGTCAATATGGTAGGGTACTAATTTACATCAGTCAACAATATATGGTTACTAATTTACACCAGTCAATAATATAAGGGAACTAATTTACATCAGTCAACAATATAAGGGTGTTAATTTACATCAGTCAACAATATAAGGGTATTAATTTACATTAGTCAACAATATAAGGGAACTAATTTACAGCAGTCAACAATATAAGGGAAATAATTTACATCAGTCAACAATATAAAGGTATTAATTTACATTAGTCAACAATATAAGATTACTAATTTATATCAGTCAACAATATAAGGGTGCTAGTTTATATCAGTCAACAATATAAGGGTGCTAATTTACATCAGTCAACAATATAAGGGAACTAATTTACATCAGTCAACAATATAAGGGAACTAATTTACATCAGTCAACAATATAAGGGTGCTAATTTACATCAGTCAACAATATAAGGGAAATAATTTACAGCGGTCAACAATATAAGGGAATTAATTTACATCTGTCAACAATATAAGGTTACTAATTTACATCAGTAAACAATATAAATGAACTAATTTACAGCAGTCAACAATATAGGGATAACAATTTACATCAGTCGACAATATAAGGGAACTAATTTACATCAGTCAACAATATAAGGGAACTAATTTACATCAGCCAACAACAGTAGACAACTAATTTACATCAGTTAACAATGGTAGGGAACTAATTTACATCAGTCAGTATTGTATAGAAATAATTTACATCAGTGACCAATACAAGCGAAATAATTTACATCAGTCAACAATTCAAGATAAATGTCATTAGTCATCATTGTTAGGCAAAAGTTTTACATTAGTCGATACAGTGGCGTAGGCAGGGGGGTCATAACCGATGCAAATCGAAAGTTTGAGGGGGGATGCAAATCGAAAGTTTGAGGGGAGGAGGGAGTGCAAATCGAAAGTTTGTCCCCGGGTAAAAATTGTAACACCCCATCCCCCCCCCCCCCCCCCCCTTGAGACGATCCTGGCTACGAGACAATATATCAGATAAAAAATTTACACAAGACTAAACTTGCAGTAACCTAATTTACTTTGAATAGATACACATACCCAATATAGGCTAACGTGTCAGTTTTAATTATATTCATAATCAAAAGCTAATTTTTTTCCTTTTTTAATTCAACTTTTCTTTTTCTGTGTTAAAATGAAGAAAAAAACGGGTTTCATAAGGGAAACAAAGGTAAAAGGGAGATTTCGTTCTTTGGTCAAAGGGAAACAACTAGAAATATTACTGTGCATTTTACTCTGCAGTAATATTGTGCTTTATTGATTGTGTTAAAAAATATGCTAGTCCCATATTTTGTATCAGAAAAAAGATAATTTTTAATTAAAGCTTAAAGAAATAAGGTTTTTAAATTTAAAACAGTGACGGTGAAAAAAAAATAAAAATAAAAGCGCAAATTCGTCGGAGAATTGAAATATTTCCGATCAAAGGGAAACAATCATTAAAATATTAATATGCTTTTACATTACTTCCCTTTGACCATAAAAATATTTAGCATGCAAATTAAAATTACGTTTTCTTAAAAATCATGGTTTTTAAATAACGAATTTAAAATTAATATCAATGTTTTTATTTAAACCAAATGATATTATAGTAAAACGTTTAATAGTTGGGAAACCTGAGCATTTTAGAAATTAAATGTGTCTCCCGTGTGTTCTGTTGTATGTAGTGTGTGTCCTGTTGTATGTTCAGTGGGTGCTGTTGTAACTGAAGAGTCCTTTTGTTTCTGATGTGTGTCCTGTTGTATCTACTATGTGTGCTGTTGTATCTACTATGTGTCCTGTTGTATGTGCCAATGTGAAAAAAAGTTCTCCGCGCTTACTATTGTTACCGTCATTTTTTTAAAATTATTATTATGTGCCGAAGAGCTTTTGTATCTACTGTGAGTCCTGTTGTTTCTTCTGAACACCCTGTCGTATTTATTTTGAGTCCTGCTCTATACAATGTATATTTGAGTATACCTCATGTGTGTCCTCGTGCGTCTATTTTAAGTCCTTATGTATCTTTAAAACAATTTTAAATAGCTCTAAAATAAAACCTACAATAATTGCTGGATGAGTACTATAACTGATACATTCAATAATTAAATCAGAATAATATTAATAAATAATGCCGTATTTTATTTGCATACCCTCTGAGCTAGTGAGTCAATGCAAATCTATAAGCCACTATTTTTATTTAAGGAGCATAAACGACTGTTTCAATCCATACAACCTATACCGTAGCCTCGCTAATAAATGCCCATACATTTGTTTTTAACTTATGGTGCCTGACATATTTCTACAGGTCCCAACCGAAAACGAGGCCGGCAGACGTACACCCGGTACCAGACTCTGGAGCTGGAGAAGGAGTTCCACTACAACCGTTACCTGACCAGACGCAGGCGCATCGAAATCGCGCACACTCTGTGTCTGACCGAGCGGCAGATCAAGATCTGGTTCCAGAACCGCCGGATGAAGTGGAAGAAGGAGTGTCGTCAGCTGCAGATGTTGAACGGGGATTGTTTTAGTGACAAGCTGTAAAGTAGGTCATAATGGCGGCTAGAGACAAGTATTAAAATAGGTCATAATGGCGGCCAGTGTCAATATGCAAAGTAGATCAATATGGCGGCTAGAGACAAGTAGTAAAGTAGGTCAAGATGGCGGTGTAGATATAAATTGTAAGTAGGTCGTGATGGCGGCTCGATGACAAGTAATTAAGTAGGTCAAGATGGTGATCATTCAAAATTAAGATCAATGATCATTTGCTAGTTGACAAGAAGGTGACTTAAAGACAAATTGTTACGTGTGTCGATATAGCGGCCTGATGACAAGTTATAAATAGGTCAATATGGCTGCTCAATGCCAAAATGTTATTAGGTCAAGATTACAGCGAATTGCCAAGCTGTATGAATCGGGAGTCTAAACTTAAAATTGCAGGCTAAGATATCGTTTAGTCGGGTATCGTATTGTCGGGTATCGTATTGTCGGGTATCGTATTGCCGGGGTATACGTACACGGTATCGAATGTGTGTCTAGTGTGTATGTCTTTTAGCTGTGTTTATGTACGTGTGTATGTCTTTTAGCTGTGTTATTAAATGGTAACGCTCAGGGCCTAGGATGCCTTCTATTGTAAGAGAACTCTGATGAAGAACATTGCTACCTCACTCTGGGTAGTACGTCACTACCTCACTCTGGGTAGTTCGTCACTACCTCACTCTCGGTAGTACGTCACTACCTCACTGGGTAGTACGTCACTACCTCACTCTGGGTAGTACGTCACTACCTCACTCTAGATAGTACGTCACTACCTCACTCTAGATAGTACGTCACTACCTCACTCTGGATAGTACGTCACTACCTCACTCTGGGTAGTAGGTCACTACCTCACTCTAGATAGTACGTCACTACCTCACTCTAGATAGTACGTCACTACCTCACTCTGGATAGTACGTCACTACCTTATTCTGGATAGTACGTCACTACCTCAATCTGGATAGTACGTCACTACCTCATTCTGGATAGTACGTCACTACCTCACTTTGGGTAGTACGTCACTACCTCATTCTGGGTAGTACGTTACTAACTCACGCTGGATAGTACCTCACAACCTGATATTTTAAACATCCTCATTCGTTGACTGTGTGTTATTAAGTTGGTTCGTGTTTAGCTTCAGTTTACAAGGAAATATGTCTAGAAGGTTTTAATTCTATTTTCTGTAAAGAAAGGTCAGTAAGCTACCCTCTATGACTAGAGTTTTTTGTCCTATATAGGACATTATTTTGTGTCCTGCTGGGTTGTGATTAATACTGAGATATATAAGGATGTGATACAAGATACAGTATTAATGTCCTTCACCATCAGACTATAAAGTCCTGTAGGACTAAATTAACGTAGGACCAGGTAACTACGTCATTGAGATGCAGGCTATGATGCCCATGTTAAATAATTAATGTATTTAATATTTAATTTTAATTGATGTTCTTAGTGAAAAAATGAATGAATTATAGATGCATCTCAGTCAATTTTAAAAGCATTTTGGGCTTAAATTGATTGTAACCTTTATCTTACTTCATTGTTTTTTCTATTTTACATTTTTTCAATAGATACATTTTCATTTTGTAAAATACGAAATAAAAAGTTAGCAACAAATTCCTGATTTTGTATTTCTTTTGATAAAAACGGCTTCCATAAAAAACAAATGTTAGGTTAGGTTAGGTTAGGTAAGGTAAGGTAAGGTAAGGTAAGGTAAGGTAAGGTAAGGTAAGGTAAGGTAAGGTAAGGTAAGGTAAGGTAAGGTAAGGTAAGGTTAGGTTAGGTTAGGTTAGGTTAGGTTAGGTTAGGTTAGGTTAGGTTAGGTTAGGTTAGGTTAGGTTAGGTTAGGTTAGGTTAGGTTAGGTTAGGTTAGGTTAGGTTAGGTTAGGTTAGGTTAGGTTAGGTTAGGTTAGGTTAGGTTAGGTTAGGTTAGGTTAGGTTAGGTTAGGTTAGGTTAGGTTAGGTTAGGTTAGGTTAGGTTAGGTTAGGTTAGGTTAGGTTAGGTTAGGTTAGGTTAGGTTAGGTTAGGTTAGGTTAGGTTAGGTTAGGTTAGGTTAGGTTAGGTTAGGTTAGGTTGAATAATAGAAAAAACCGACCTGTATACAAATGGATGCATATAAGCACACACATACCTACGCATACACACATATACACATACATATACACGCATACACAATAAACGCACACTTTCAAACAAACACGTCTTATAAAACAACTTCTATGGGAGAAATGTCATACTTCATTGGTTTTTGGTCTGATTGTTAATAAATGAAACTTACAGCTAACGAATCAAGCAAGAAACACATACGAGCCACTTAAAGCTTGTAGGTCGGGCATATAACTGTACGCTTATAACATTAGGGATGCGGTGGTATATCATTTTGTTATATTATGATACAGGACTTAGAAGTGATACAGAGAAATGTAAATAGACGCTACATTTTATTTTCCTTATTATTTTTGCTACGTACTTATTGCTACATTGTTAGCGGTTAGATCCTTCATCTATGTAGAAAAGGGGTCTCCAAACTACGGCCAGCGGGCCGCATGCGGCCCGCGAGGTCCTCTCATCCGGCCCTCGTAGATCTTTTTGTCCATGGAAAAAAATGTTTATTGGAGGTGACGGAGAAATTTTTTCTAGAAAATTAAACAAATTTGAAAATGTAGCTTTGGGTGCAAATACCATTGCCCGCCGTGTTGCAGACATTGGTGAAAACATGCGACTCAAGTTTCGCCATTTTTCAATTGCAATAGATGAGTAACTGGACATTTATTCCACCTCTCAAACGCTTGAGTTCATTAGATGTGTGATTCAAGGTACAAATTGCAAGCAAATGACCTCCTAAGAGACAAATTCAAAGAAAGCCGGGTGGGCTTTTATAAGTTTTTGTCCAATGAAGACTTGCCTAAAGTCAAAATTAGTGTATCAGTGTACCCTTCAAATTTTGGAAAAACATACCTGTGTGAACAAACATTTTCAAGAATGAAATACGTAAAAAAAAAAATTTGAGAAAAAACTTGGACCTCAAGTGTGTTGTCGGCCCACGGCAGTGTTTCTTTCAGAATATTTTCTCCGGGTGGGGGGAAACTTGAAATGTGTATATATTTCTATATACATTATATTTGTTTGTAGGGGTGGGGGGGGGGGGGGGGCGGTGGGGGGGGGGGCCGTAGAAGTTTTTGTGGGGGGGGGGGTGGGGGGAGGAGGCTTCGCCACCCCGAAGTAACTCTGGCCCCCGAAGTGATATTTGATAGTTAATGCGGCCCTCGGGCTGAAAAGTTTGGAGACCCCTGATGTAGAACATACACCTATTAGTAGTTAAATACATATATCTATGTAGCACCAACACTGTTTTGACACCGAAACTCGGTTGTAAGCGGCTTTAGATTACGATGTAACCTGGTATTTTAACTATACAAATGCAGCCAATATAAAAACTAGTTAATTTGATTTTTAATTAAAACTTTCTATTTCTCATAGATCAATATGTCGTGATGAATGTGTTGCGGGGGGGGGGGGTATATTTAATGTTATGTAATATTGGGGGCGGGGTGATGGTGTATAGAAATAACCTGGTAGATGGATAATTTAAGGTTTTTTTATAACACAGTAGGTTGGGCAGGTGTAGTTATATGAAATGGTGGTTTATATACACCATGGTGTCTCGTGTATGCGATGGTGTTTCACAGTGGTGTTTCGTGTATGTAATGGCAGACATCAGCCTGTCTGTTAGGATAAGCCTGCCTGCAGGTATCATCTTGCCTGCAGGGATCAGCCTGCATGCAGGTATAAACCTTGTCTTGTCGCTGTCTTTATCTTTCTTATCTTTGTTAACGACGGTGAGCAGGATAAGAAATCACCAGACCGTGGAGAAAAGTCTCAAGTAGCCCCCATCATTGCCCCGCCCCCGGGCCATGGACTCGTCCTTCGATCGATAAGTTAGAGAAGCAGCTATTGGCTGGAAGACGATGGAGAATTTGAACTGACCAATCGGATTCTTTGACAGCTCTCGCGGTCGGTAAATTATGAGCGGCTTGTCCAATAGGAGTCGAGTTATTTAGGTGTAGTTGCGCATGGTGGGTAGAGGATGTTGTTGTACTGAGGGTAGTGGGTGGTGTTGCTGTGTAATGAGGATAGAGGATGTTGTAGTGGCGTACTGAGGGTAGAGGATGTTGTAGTGGCGTACTGTGGGTAGAGGATGTTGTAGTGGCGTACTGTGGGTAGAGGATGTTGTAGTGGCGTACTGTGGGTAGAGGATGTTGTAGTGGCGTACTGTGGGTAGAGGATGTTGTAGTGGCGTACTGTGCGTGGTGATGTTGTAGTGGCCGTACTGAGGGTGGTAAATGTTGTAGTGGCAAACTGTTGGTAGAGGATGTTGTAGTGGCGTACTGAGGGTAGAGGATGTTGTAGTGGCGTACTGAGGGTAGAGGATGGTGTTGTGGCGTACTGAGGGTAGATGATGTTGTAGTGGCGTACTAAGGGTAGAGGATGTTGTAGTGGCGTACTGAGGGTAGAGGATGTTGTAGTGGCGTACTGTGGGTAGAGGATGTTGTAGTGGCGAACTGAGGGTAGAGGATGTTGTAGTGGCGTACTGAGGGTAGAGGATGTTGTAGTGGCGTACTGTGGGTAGAGGGTGTTGTAGTGGCGTACTGAGGGTAGAGGATGTTGTAGTGGCGTACTGTGGGTAGAGGATGTTGTAGTGGCGAACTGAGGGTAGAGGATGTTGTAGTGGCGTACTGTGGGTAGAGGATGTTGTAGTTGCCGTACTGTGGGTAGAGGATGTTGTAGTGGCGTACTGAGGGTAGAGGATGTTGTAGTGGCGTACTGTGGGTAGAGGGTGTTGTAGTGGCGTACTGAGGGTAGAGGATGTTGTAGTGGCGTACTGTGGGTAGAGGATGGTGTACAGGCCGAACTGAGGGTAGAGGATGTTGTAGTGGCGTACTGTGGGTAGAGGGTGTTGTAGTGGCGTACTGTGGGTAGAGGATGGTGCAGTGGCGTACTGTGGGTAGAGGATGTTGTAGTTGCCGTACTGTGGGTAGAGGATGTTGTAGTGGCGTACTGTGGGTAGAGGATGTTGTAGTGGCGAACTGAGGGTAGAGGATGTTGTAGTGGCGTACTGAGGGTAGAGGGTGTTGTAGTGGCGTACTGAGGGTAGAGGATGTTGTAGTGGCGTACTGTGGGTAGAGGGTGTTGTAGTGGCGTACTGAGGGTAGAGGATGTTGTAGTGGCGTACTGTGGGTAGAGGATGGTGTACAGGCCGAACTGAGGGTAGAGGATGTTGTAGTGGCGTACTGTGGGTAGAGGGTGTTGTAGTGGCGTACTGTGGGTAGAGGATGGTGCAGTGGCGTACTGAGGGTAGAGGATGTTGTAGTGGCGTACTGAGGGTAGAGGATGTTGTAGTGGCGTACTGAGGGTAGAGGATGTTGTAGTGGCGTACTAAGGGTAGAGGATGTTGTAGTGGCGTACTAAGGGTATAGGATGTTGTAGTGTCATACTGCGGGTAGTGGATGTTGTAGTGGCGTACTGTGGGTAGAGGATGTTGTAGTGGCGTACTGAGGGTAGAGGATGGTGTACAGGCCGAACTGAGGGTAGAGGATGTTGTAGTTACGTACTGTGGGTAGAGGATGTTGTAGTGGCGTACTGTGTGTGGTGGACGTTGTAGTGGCGTACTGACGGTAGAGGATGTTGTAGTGGCGTACTTAGGGTAGAGGATGTTGTTGTACTGGGAGTAGTGGATGTTGTTGTTAGGTACTAGGGTGGTGGATGCTGTAGTGGCGTACTGAGGGTGGAAGATGGTGTTGTTGCGTACTGTGGATGGTGGATGCTGTTGTAATGGGAGTAGTGGATGGTTTAGTGGCGTACTATGGGTGGTGGATGTTGTAGTTGCCGTACTGAGGGTAGAGGATGTTGTAGTGGCATACTATGGGTGGTGGATGCTGTAGTTGCCGTACTGAGGGTAGAGGATGTTGTTGTGGTCAGGATGTATAGAAATGGCACATTGAACCAACCATTGCTGTGTGTGATATGTCCGATCCTTTTTGTTTTCTGACAGCGACAGGTGACTGGGGCCACAATGTCAAGAGACACATCGTGGGCATCTTGTAGAGAGATGGGCCGTTAGGGAGAGAAGGGCCATGAGAGGAGGGCCATCACAGAGTGGTTAGACGAGGGCCATCACAGAGTGGTTAGAGGAGGGCCATCATAGTGTGAGGCGAATATGGCCAATACATAATGTATGGAGAGGGTGGCCACTCATTCAAAATAAACTTAACAACGCAAACAAAATATTTAACTATCCTAACTTAAACAAAAGATCACATATCCTAACCTAAAAAAATATCTCATATCCTAACCAAATCAATCCAAAGTAAACATGTTCACAGTATCGAAAACCAAACTATTGTGTTACACTGTATATTTTGATTGGGAAAGTGTCATCACTGTTCGCATCATAACTTTCAACATACAGAAGGCGCTTAAAATATTCAGAATTTTTTTATGGTTGTTAGTAACAATTTTAATAAAAGCTAGTATAAATTATACATTAGTATCACTACCCTAACCCTGTCGTCGTCCCACCCCCCTCCTTGCCCTAACCCTCAGACATTACCAAATCTAAACCCCTAACCCTCCCCATTACTCTAAACCTGACCTTGATTTTAATCCTAACCTTGACTACGGTAAAGGAAAAAAAACACTCTACAGTGCTGTCCTTCAGCTATAATTACCAGAACTCTACGATGCCCAACATTTTAGGCCCATGAAGCCTGGGACTCTCGTCATTGCCATTGCATGGCCATTGTTCAGTTGTGCGTGCCACGCAATTTGTCCTATAATATTTATGTGGCTTTCTAAGGCTGTGTTGTGTCTTACCCCACTTCCTATCAAGTTATTCTTTCAGCCAAGTCTAGGGTCCACGAATCTCACTCATAGACATGAGTGTTGTATCGGCAGAGCTCAAAGTACTAAAAGCGTATCCTAGAATCCACTCGTTCTTTAGCGTTTAAATAAACCGGGAGTGATCTCCCCTAAACTTTCTCGAATATTCTTATATGAAACAGCAGGGATGGCTACTCGGAATATAGAAAAGATTTTTAATCCATTTTAAACTTTTTTAAAATAGAATAAAAACTCGTGGAAAAAATAATTGCGCACCAGTGAACGCCAAATAAAATGTGTATAATAGTGCGGGATATTATTAGTACTTTATAAATTCACATGAGTTTTTTTGTTTTTTTTTAGAAATCGGAAATAGCGAAAATTACTACTTCCAGTCAACAGAAATCACTCAAAATTTGACAGAAGGTAGAGAATTAGATCTGTTACTTACGTGTAAATTTCATTTATCTATCTGAAATAGTACTCAAGTTATAAGCTTTTGAAAAAATTAAAGTAGAAAAAGTTCCACTTTCGGTTATCGGAAATCCCTTAAAAGTTGATACGGATCTACGATTTTGATAAAATACTTAATATATGAAATTTCATCAACCTAGCTGTAACGGTACTTAAGTTATCGTGTTTACACACGGATACACACACACACACACACAGGCACACACACAGACACACAGACATACGGACAAGATTGCAAAATTATGTTTTTCCGTATCAGTGAGGTGTAAAACGTCGAGATTTGTAAAAATCTCGATTTTTTTTTTGCACGATTACAATACTTTCTCTATACTTCGTATATACGAGAAAGTAAAAAAGAATTCTTGATTTAGACAAAAGTATGACGTCATCTCCCCCCCCCCCCCCCCCACATCCCGCGCCTTTCCGGTCAACCGGCCACACTCGCCCATGACGGTTAATGGTAGCCGGCAATCAATTAGGAGCTGACCAGTGAAATTTATGGCCGTTCCGGCTCCGGTCACACGGCTGCCGGCTTAATGTCCATTTTATGCACGGGTCTAGAAGCACGTGTGTGCGCGCGCATCTGGCTGGGGGAGCCGGGCGTGGACAATCGGTGTGACGTCATCAGGTCCAGCTGACGACAACATGTTTAGGTGGGTGTTTGTTTTATGGGCCCGTGGTGGGGTGGTGTGGGGGTGTGGGGGTGTGAGGGTGTGGTGGTGTAGGGGTGTGAGGATGTGGTGGTGTGGGGATGTGGTGGTGTGGTGGTGTGGGGGTATGGTGGTGTGGGGATGTGGGGGTATGGTGGTGTGGGGATGTGGGGATGTGGGGGTGTATCTGGTGTGGTGTGGGGGTGTCGTGTGGCTGGTTGCACATGTGGATGTGGTGGCGTCGGCTGTATATTTTGGTTTCGTTGGGCTGGCTGCACATTTTGGAAGAAGGGCGTATGAAAACACGTGTGGTTGTGATTCTGTGTGTGTGTAAGTGAGTGAGTGCTTGTGTGTATTTTTGTGTGAGAGAGTGAGAGTGAGTATTTATGTGTTTGTGTACGTGTTTGTGCGAGTGTTTGTTTCATTGTTTTTGTTGTGGGTGTGTTTTCCGAAACAGAAAAAAAATAACCCAACAAAATTTTTGTTTATAACTAGACATATTATATCGTGATTCTTCTAAAAACTCGGGTAATTAACCCACCATATCTGATCTGATAGCTGACCCTAACCAGAGTTTCTTCCAGGCATCTCTTCGGGGGGGGGGGGGGGGCAGAAATTTATATAGGAAATATATACTTTTAACATTGTCCGCCCCCCCCCCCCCCCCCGAAAATTTCAAGTGCCCCCCCTCCCCCGGAGAAAAGGGTCTGGAAGAAACACTGACCCTAAGTTGACCTTAACTATAACGAGACACATACCTACAAGAAAACTAGAGCTAATTAATATTCTAATCAGTTATTCAATTTTAGTTTTGTTCTTCTGTTTTTAATTCAAAACTGGTTAATTTTTTCCATTTGGTGCACGTGTGTGTCTGTGAATGTGTGTGTGTGTGTGGGGGGGGGGGGGTCAGATAACTCTTTTTAGCCTTCACTGACCACAAACCCACTTCTGACTCTCTGACCACTCACGCTATGAGCACGGCGGAGCTTGACCCAAACATTAAACCTAACCCCAGCTTAAAATTAAAAAAAAAAAATTTAATTTATAAAAAAATGCTCACAGCTTTCAGCATACATAAATTATTATTATTGTGACTCTTCTTTTTTTTTGTACTCTGATTTTTCCGTCAGACAACAATCAGCCTCACCACCCCCCCCCCCTCCCACCCCCACACCCCCTAGGCCCTAGGGTGAGTAAAAAGCCCCAATTAACACATGCACGCAAAGTGAGGACGAGGATTTGTAAAATTTATGCTCGTCCAACTTCCGTCAGAGTTGATTCCGATCGTCACTCGTGATTGGCTGGCCGTGATAACGATCTGATTGGCTGATTGGTTCTATAATTGATCCGCTGATTAGTGCAATCACAGACGATATCTTTGTACAAGTAAAACTTTAATACGGAACACAGGGGAATGTGTTGCTGTTTTTTTTTTTTTTTTTTTTTTGTTGTTTTTTTTTTTTGTTTTTTTTTTTGTTTTTTTTGTGTAAAACACTGCTCGATGGCTGACTGCGGTGAAAGCGTTAGATGACGTCATGATCACGAGTCACGCACTGAATGACGTCAAGGCGAACAGCTGTGACTTGAAGCGATAACTTTCTGTATTTTATAGGGAGTAGACGAGTTGGTAGAGTGGTAGAGCACACGTCTGCGAACCTACTAGAGGTCGCGGAATTTACCCAGCTCTGATGGATACCTGGCTATTATTGGGAGAGTAATACATGCAAGGATCACAGAAACAGATAAACTCTACTGCAACTGCGACTGTCAAATCAGAAATTCGGAAAAAAATTTAAACCAAAGTATAAAAATATATTTTACTGCAATTCAGTCAAAGTTCCATGTAAATTTGATTACGTTATATAATATACGACTGAGCAAAAACAATGTATGACAGTGCGACATATCACATACATCACACACACCACACACACACACACAAACACACATCATGTTTACAAAACACTACACACTTCACGCACAGAATACCACACACCAATGTAAAACACATCACATACGACTATGTTTGCGAACACCATGCACACCACGCACCCACAAAATATGACATAATATATGCACATTACATCACACACCAGTGTGAAAACACCACACAAACACCAGTGTGAAAACACCACCCACACACCTGCTGTACAAACACCACACAAACACCAATGTACACACACCACACACCATTGTACACACACCACCCACACACAAGTGTACAAACACCACACACACCAGTGTGGAAACACCCCACATCTGGTGTCGTGGTCAACGCCCGCACGTGTATGATGACGTATTAATTAACTCATTAGTGTTTTTAATCAAGCCTGCCGCCATCTCGCCGTCTGGAAATGGAAATTTCTCATCAACCTAAACAGGGATCGATTTCAGGTAATCATAACCTGCCTCGCATTAACTCGATTCTCTTTTATGTATCGATATCGTCCGCCAGCTTGCAGGCTTATTAAATGTCCTGTGTTTTGTCTATGTCTCTAGGACAGCTTGATTACCTCCCCGTTTTTTCGGGAATAATTTTTTTTTTATCAATACCGCTTGAATAATAATAACACGCGACGCATGCGCAGACAACCAGGTGTGGTTCTTAATAATCTTTGTGTCAGCGCTTATTTAAAACATGACTAAAAAATAGATACACCTCGTTATTGTTTACATTTTTGGAGGGATTCGAACCTCGGTCTTTTAAGTGAGCAGCTAACAAAGACGAAAGAACTACAGAAAGGAAAACAACTTGGATGTCCTCTGAGATAAAATATGACCTCATCATGAGAATCCAGTTTATCTCATTATCTCATCATCGCCGGGCGGGCTTAATTATGCATAAAGCGGGTATCACGTGACGAGGGAAGCTTGTGTCCGCCGCTTGGGTCCATCAATAATTGACGTGGTCAACTTTTTTTTCTGAGTGATCGGATATATTCGTCACGTGGTGCACACGATGGTGCAGGTGGGATGGGTGTCACGTTTGTTTTTTGTCACGTCAGTAGACAAGTGTCACGTTTGTTTTTTGTCACGTCAGTAGACAAGTGTCACGTTTTTGTCACGTCAGTAAACAAGTGACACGTTTATTTTTTGTCACGTCAGTAGACACGTGTCACGTTTGTTTTTGTCACGTCATTAGACAAGTGTCACGTTTTTGTCACGTCAGTAGAAAAGTGTCACGTTTGTTTTTGTCACGTCAGCAGACAAGTGTCACGTTTTAAAGCGATGGTACCCTGATGATTCTCTACGTGTAGAATGTGTCACGTCGACCTCTTGTGTGACTCTACCATGCTGATCGTGATCGTTCTTCGGTGTTTCTTTCACACATCCGGGGGAGGGGGGAACAAAGTTGAAACTATTGGGAGGGAGCGAAGTTAAATTTCCGAAGGGAGCGGAACAGATACTGATTTAAGTATGTATTTTTATATTAAAAAATTTCGATGGCGCCCGGGGGTGGGGGGGGGGGGGGTTAGGGATGCCAAAAACAGACGCTAGGGTGATCTTGTCACATCAGTCACCATTGAAACTGTACCACCAATCAAATCATTCGAAGAGCTGAATTTTAAGACGATTTTACAAGCGAGCCTGGTACGTTGTAAATTATTACGTAAATTGAGACATAATATTATTATGTAAATTGTGATATAATATTATTACGTAAATTGTGATATAATATTATTACGTAAATTAAGACATAATATTATTATGTAAATTGAGACATAATATTATTATGTAAATTGTGATATAATATTATTATGTTAAATTGAGACATAATATTATTATGTAAATTGAGACATAATATTATTATGTAAATTGAGACATAATATTATTATGTAAATTGTGATATAATACTATTATGTAAAGTGAGACATAATATTATTACGTAAATTGAGACAGTATTATTATGGAAAATGAGACACTATATTA